GAATACCGCTGAGAACTCAAAAGTACTCTCAATAATCATACGAGTGCTATTTTGATGGTAACTGGCTTTGAATGAATGGATCAAATGGATCGTCGTGAGACCACGAAAAGAGGAAATGAGATAGATTGCGAAACGCATATGTGTAATATACAAAGTTAAGATGTACGGAGGACATGTAGGGAAGCTAAATGTGAAACTGGCTGTCTGTGTTTCATCCCTAAGCTGCAAACACAGACAGTATACGGTGTGGATTAGGGTGGGAATCATCAGTGCAGCCCCCAATCCACCATTTGGAAATTTTGATAACATGAATGCGTGGTAGGAGAAGAGCAAAGAAAGAAGATAGGGAAGAATAGAAGGTGGAAGGATAAAGAAATTTGCAACGAAATCAAACTGTCTCCGGCAGGCACGGGCAACCTTTGGCGGCACGCGAGCCTAATTTAAATACTTCAGCTTACGGGCCACCTTTTAATAAAACCCAAGTAGCAATGCACCAGGTTTGCCCATGCGATCACCCGTTTTTGTGCTAAATTTGACACAGTCAGATCGTTAACAGTATGAATGGTTGTTGCTTTACAGTTTAACACAATCAATTCATGTGCCTGTATTTTGATCTTTTTTGAGTAAGGGGAGGGGAAAGGGCATCGGCTGGAGCGGTAATGTTGCATCATGGCTCTCCCCGTTGCTGGGTTGAAACTAAGTGACAAAATTCACTTGCTTTTAAAAACACATGTACAGTCATCCTCTCGAAATTATGCGTTTTACACTTTCATAATATGCAACAACGCATAAAAACAGATAAGTTTTTATCAGGTTATTTATTCATTAAAAAAAAAATAAACAGCGGCTGATTGATGTGAGCTCTGAGCTTGAACTTTTGACGCAATATTTTGAAAGCTGGATTTATATTCACTGACACAGAGTCTCAAAGTATTTTCCATATTGTCGTCAGTTAGCTTCGTGCATGTTCTAGTTTTATCTATTTTCATGAGAGTACAAAGGCGTGGCGGAATACAAATACCCGTTCGTTTAATTAGGCAACACATTCTGATTCCCTCCGCAGGCCGCCGATTGCCCACCCGTGGTCTCTAGCCTACTTCTATAGCAAAACGCAGAAGTTGAGGCCATCAACCAGTTAGCCAAAGAGTGATTTTTTAGGGCGAAGGAGGGAGGGGGAGGCGTATGGAAGGAAGAGGGTTAATCGTGTCAGTCGGTCCACTTTCGAGTACTTGTGTATTCCACATGAAGTGTGAACGGAAGCAGTATTTTTTGTTGTTTTTTGCAGATATGTTTTACGTAGTTCTTTTTTTTTTTTAGATAATCGCATAACATTGCTAGAGAAAAATACGATTGAGCTGGAAGCGAAATTTCACGAAGAAATGCAGCGGAACAAAATGGCGATTGCAACACAATCAGACACGCTGTAAACTTTTTTCGTTTATTAAAAACTACTTTCTTGTGCTGCTTGTAAAAATGTTCATTTTTATATTGTTTAAGTAGTAGTGAAGAAATTGAGAGAATTTCAAGCTCGGGAAAACTAAAGAAAATGGAAGAAGAAAAGAGCGAGAAAGATCGTAAAATTGCTGAACTGACGGAGGAGAAAGAAAGACTGTCCGAGAAATTGGAGGATGAGAGGAAGAACATGGAGAACAGGACAAATTTATTGGAACGAGAAATCGACCGTATAAGAATTGGTGATGATCGCAGGTATGTTATTTGCCCTGGTTAATTTTTTTTTTTGTTTTTGATCACTTTACTGCAAAAAAAGCCCCCAGTTTGTAGAGATTCGGGCCAAAAAAATCCCTGCATATAACATGTCATCCATTACATATTCAGTAATAGCCTCCTTTGCTTTCGTCTAATAAAAAATCGGTTTTAAGTGGATAATTTTCTAAAGTTCCTCCTCCTCTTTTATCTAATAAACAGTTGGTTTTAACTGATCGATTTTCTGCTGAGCAGTACGTAATGGCAAACCAAAACCCCTTTCTACAATCATCTATTTTCTCGTTTTTCAAGTTGTATTTCTCATAAACCAAGATGATGAAGTTAAGATTTCGAGAGGATATGGCACGCATGGAACAAATGCGATTGAAAATCGCCGATAGACGTTGCTTTACAACTGAACATGCTCGTAACAGGTACTTCGCTTCTTGCTTTATTATAATTTAAGGCATGTTTTTTTGTGAAATTAAACTCACTATTGCGAATTGAAGCAGGAAAAGGCGCAAGTGCTCAGAAAGCAAATTTCTTTTTTTTTTTTTGATATGAAAATTTTGCATATTCTTCGCATTGTGGCGATTTTACATGAACTCTTGGTTTTTGTGCGTTTTATGCCGCACCAGTAGTGCAAAACGAATATTGTCATGCCCCATCTGCATAGTTATACGGGTTTTTCAATCCAGCAACCGGACAAACTAAGAAACCGAGATTTTAGATTTGTTTTCTTGCCGATGTTTGGCCCGCTAATCAGCATTCACATGTGTGCACTTCTCCATAGGTGTGTGTGTAAAACCTCTGGCAGAGCCAGCTTGGAGCCAGAAAAGATAGAAGCCTGAAATTTTAGGAAGATTTTTCCTATCTATCTGGGACTCTAGGAATTTAAATCGGGTTTCCAGTATATGCCTAGTTCTCACGTGTGGATACTTGAAAGTTCAGCTGGGCAGTATTTCTAGCCCAGAAGCCTGGTAGGGTGAAAAGCCGACCGTTGCAAATTGAACTTCAGTCACTCCGTGCCTCCGCATCTCACGTACGATCATGTGCATGTTCAGGAAGGCAATTTTTAAGCTCAAAAAGCAGATAAAGTTGTGGAACTTTAGGCGAATGTTTCCTGGCCGGTGAACGTTCTCTTAAAAAAAAGCGTTCGCTACTCGGAATTGCACGAAACGCATAAGCGTAGGGGTTTTTTGGTATATGTGTGTCATCATTTGATCTTTTAAAATACAAGCTCAGATTTGTGCATCATGGACGTACATCATCCGGGACACGCGCCGGTCCTACGCCAACACACGTGCGAGCGAACTCAGCATCAGCACTG